AATATAAGCATTCAGTGGTAATTTCATGTATTTACAGTTATTTATTTTTTTAGATTTACAAAAAAATGAATAAAAAATAAACTCATCGTTGTAACACTTGTAACATCAATACATTCAATATTCATCGCTCCGCTAAAAATCTAAAGTAYCTATTTGTATTTAATTAAAAGTAGATAGGTTCAAACGTATTTTACTACGCTATACCTACCTATACTATATTGTCTATATATACTATACTAGATCAGACGTGCTCAATTTTTTTCAATTTACGAGCCGTATATTTTTCAAGGTTTTTCTTTATTCTGATAAATACAATAAATATAATATTAGCTTTGCTTACTTAACAAACTTATGATTTTTTTTAAGTTTGTTAGTATTGAATATTCCCAGGCTAGTCTTAAGTTAAAAATTTGTTTTGGTCATTGAAAACTACAGGTTTGCTTTTATATTAAAATTTAAAAAAATTAAGATATTTCAATTCTTAAGAGCTTATTAAAATGACATTTATTTTAAAATCATAATTTTTGTTCTTATTTATATACTGTCTAAAAATATTTYGAATTTTAAAAATTTTTTACGGGCTGGTTTGAATACTACTACGAATTGGGTACTCTTGTACTATAGGTTACTACCTATATAGGGTTACTATAGGAACCTCTAGGTTCTCTAAAAGTCTAAATAAACTGTTTTGTTTATAGATGTTTTATAGATTGAAAATTGTACACTCTTTAATACAAGTACTTCAATGGAATCGAACACAGCCTCTAAGGAAAATTGCAAAAGCTATACTCAAATTTAACTACTAGAATAATATTGTTCAATAAGTTCACTTGAAATATTTTATGAATTTATGAACATTGGTATTTGGTAAACATCAATTTGTTTAGACTGGCTAAAAAGTGTAAAGTAATATTCATACTTTAACTAGAACATGTTTATATTCTGTTCATCGAGAGAAACATCGATTCTGCGCAACCCATTGCGTCATCCAGCCATCACAATTGGTTTTCCTAGGACGGGCGCAACTCCTTTCACCGAAAAATGACCTTCCTCTTTTCGACCAAATATGATAAAATAATTCCCTATTTTCACCTAATCATAATTGCATTCTTTTTGCCTAATTTTAATGTTCAAAATTTTGGAAAGCACTATCACACTGCTTTGGGCAGCTAACTCGTCAGAATTAATCAGGACGACTAATGCATTTTTATTGTATTTCTACACAAATTGGTATGTGGTTAGCTGTTATTWTACAAGAAGTCCAAACTTATGTTTATATTAAATTAAATAATATCTATTTACAAAATTTTCCTAAAGATAGGAAAGTTAAAGAACGACAACTAAAAAACGAAGGCAAAACACAATAGTACCTTAGGGGAGAGATAAGTCGGTATGAATTTCTTAAATCTAAATCGTTCAACTACAGAAAACATTTAAATTTAAATTTAAATTAAATATTTTTTATAAAACATTTTTTCAACGACGTCATAAAAATTAATGATAAATATATATATATATATTATATAATAATAATTTAATGTGGACATAGACAAAATATATTTTTGGAGAGTAATAGAAGCCACCTCCTCGTGGTGCTCTTTGGGTTATGCTAAATGACTAATTTAAATTAGTTAAAAAATAATTAAAAAATTTAATTTTGAGACAGGGCTTTCCAAAATGTTGGACATGAAAATTGGGCAAAAAGAATGCAATTATTTTTAGGCGAAAAGAGGAAACTATTTTATCATATTTGGTCGAAAAGAGGAAGGTCGTTTTGGGCGAAAGAAGTACCGCCCCCTAGGACAGGGGTCACATGAGAATGCGCTGCAGGAAAACCGATTTTCGTCGGTCCGCATGTGTGTTCTATGGTACTATCACTGAACAAAGTATAGTAAGACTTAATAGTAAACTAGTAAGTAGTAACTACCAATTATCAACTGATAACAATACAAGTTAGAGAACTCTGAACCTACTTAAGTTTTTACTTCTTCATATTACGTTGATAACATTTTGGATACCTAACCATAATTTAATCGTAAAATTAAAAAGGCGTATTAATTAATACGGTCCATAGTGCACACTGCATACAGATAAGTATAGATATCACTATCTTTTGTAGAAGGTATCTATACAAGACGTTTTAAATCGCCCGTTGTGAAAAACACCGCCATGTGCCAATGGCCAATGATGCACTAAAAATAAATGTTTAAATTTTCGAAGTCCGATAGTTAAAATTTAAGCACGTGTAATGATGACGTCGTGATTCATGACACAATATGGTCGCATCCTATAGCTTGATTTTGTTATCCGTAGAATGCATTTAGATTCATATAAATCGATTACACGCAGTAAAAAACAAACAGCTAATAGATTATGACATTGACATTGACATTACTCGAAACTTTTCTTTATCTAGATAATTAAGTAGCTAGCATTTATCAATTATCATCAAACACATTAGTAATTAATAATATTATTATTTAATAGTTATAAGTAGATATTTTCGATTATTTATGCATTTTAAAAGTAATTTATTGGGGAATTACAAGCTTGGTCGCCAGATATGCTACTGTGCACAGGCAGAGACCATTGGGGTGCGGTGTGGTGCTCAAACACTCCACTACAAGTCATTCCATGTGATATGCTACTGCTAGTATGTCATATGCTATAACTRTACCATTTATTTAATTGGACAATAATACAATTGTTCTGTGTAAAAATTTGAACCTATTATTTATTAAACTTGGTTATCATACTTTTGGAGGGGATAATTTCTAAAAATTGTCCACGTGTTCTTACATGGTTAAAATATTTTTCTATTTTAATTAAAATAGGCCTTTTACATCGTAAAAGTGATATGGCCAAAAAATGTTATCAAAGAAACGAGTATGTGGGTTACTAAGTAATGTGATAAATAGTTTTATATTATACGTGTACAATACTGTATACATAATATGTGCGTAGTATTGTAAATGTACCTATACTAACTATAACTGACTACTTAATATTATGTAATAATAAATATAATAAAACAATATACGGCTATTTGCGTTTTGAAGGAAAATTAGTTTATTTGCTCTATGCATAAAATTTAGTAAGGCACACAATGCAAAAACTTATTTGTATAGTCTTGTAGATTACATAATTGTCTTAAATAATAAAATTCACTGTTAACCTATGGTAGTCATTAATTTCAATAACAAAATAATATTGAGTTACTCAAAAAATTAGAGGTAGTAGACAGTAGACTATTATAGTAGCCCTAGTGATAGCAACTGCGACTAGCCAATAGCAATCACTGAAGCGTTTTCCACCACACCGCACTATTGCACCAAGGTGGAACTGGTACAGTTCACTGATAATCGTACCAACACGGGCTGGTGGCTGGTGCAAATATAGATGAAACATAAAATCTATACTTATTACTGATATATAAAGATAATAAAATATTTAATTTGTATTGCAATACTTATCATGATAACGATAATGCGCACGAGCTCCAAGGGCTCGTGCGAATATCTTTGCACTGAGTGCAAAAAACTGACATAGTGCATTTAGGTGAAACATAAAAAAGTCCACTCATGGCACATTAATCTTGCAGATGGAACATAAAAATATGCACTGGTGCAGTCAGTGCAGTGTGGTGGAAAACGCTATAAGATTTAAGTAGGTATCAAATATTTTATATCATACAATATGGAGTCTGCTTTATTGATACCAACTTATTTTTGAAATGAGAATCACCATTTTTCCATGTAAATTTTTAAGCGGGTGAGCTTTTTGAAAATATTTATGAATCTAAGTATAAATTTAAGTTCGGAATTCGAGTAGTTCAACATTTTTTTACCTACTATAAGGATAATAGTCTTTATAAATAGGTTTAGAAAAATATAAAATTCATGTAATATTGAATATAGCATTTATTATGCTACAATTTTTCTTTAAAATTATAAAACGTTAATAGATTAATATTCATTAAGACAATTTTAATATCTTTATATGCTCCTCCATATCTACCTAAGATTTTGTTAACCTTTGTATTCTGCGAATGTTAGACMACTATACTTACTCCAATTATCCACAATTTAAATACATATAAATGATAAACTACACGTCCGAAATTTGATTTTTTTTGATTCAAAAACTCCGAATAAAATTCTGCTGAGGAATATTAAATTTAAAAAAATGTTATTCAAAAGAGTAAAAATTTGAAAACAAATTAAAATTAAGAAGATAAAAATTATTTCTTCAAAATAATTTTAAAAACATTGGTATTTTCTGAAATAAAGAGTGTCTTGCGTTAAATATATCTATCACTCTGTATACCACGATTCGTAATTAATGCAAGACAAATGTATTTTATTGGTTTACAAATATTATAAATATAAATTATAATTAATAATTTAATAATTGTAAGTTTATTTGTTTACGTCATATGCTTTACAGTTAAGGGATAAATTATAGACATAGAGGTATTACATAAAGTTATTGATTAGGTACCTAATACCAGTAATACCTATATGAATGATATCTTAAATTATAGATATACCTATATCTTAAATATAAAGGAAAATAAATACAAATTACGAACCGAATTGGCTATTAATTTTTAATAATATGTTACGAATTACGATTATGAATTCGCAATCAAGGTTGTGTGTACCATACCTCGAACCTAACTTATCAGCAATATTATATACCCATCAGTTCTATCACCTGCATTTTTTTAATCTTTCACTATTCGCATTACTCTCTAGACGTATACCTACTTAGTCTTAAATATGGTTTTAAAACAATAATTTTGATTTTAGAGATAGCTCTATCGAAATAAATGCTTACCATTGATTTCGAAAATAATAATAATAATAATGATAATTCATTAAATTGATAACACTTAAAATACACTACCAATTACACACAAAAAGAATTCCTCAAAATTATAAGTTTAAGTATAAAAATACGTTATATATAGTAATAGTAAAGATATATTATGAACTTACCAGGCCTTGAATTCGTTCTATCGGAGGCGGATGTCAGCTGATGACGGTCTTCTTGAATAAATATATTATTGTACAGAACCGAAGCAGGTGGCATTTGCATTGACTGTTCGTCATAACATTGTATTGTGGGTGTCATCCTGAAATAAGTCATTTATAAAATCGAAATACAATAGGCATATACCTAGGTAAATTAATAATTATATAATTTATAACATAAACTATTATACGCTATATTGTAATATAGATTATATACTACACTAAAGTACGAATATCTTATGACTTCACTTTCTGCTGGTCATCACTATTGATATTTTATAACATACTTTGTAAAAACCTTTTTCGAATTAGTTCTTTTTTTCAGCGAACCCCAGAGTATTGAAAAACTAAATTACATGTAAATAATAATACAAAATTGTGTAATCTATGCTCGCGTTTATTTGTGAGTGCACCATGTGTTAATACTGCGAAACGTGGATTTATATAATAAATTATATCATGAAAATTATAAAGACTAAACTATTCAAAAACCGCTAAAACGATAGAAATGTTTTTTATTACTGGGTAGGTATATTATATTATACTGTTTGTAAAAAAAATAATTAATATCGTATATTAAAATAAATCATTGTTATAACTAATAATGTTATTGTATGATATAATTATATAACTA